TACAATACACACAATTGATTTTGTACCAACTTTAGTAGTGTAAATGAAAAAGTGTAATTGTTTAGTTTTACTTTATATTATAGGAATAAGAGTAATAATATCTACATTTTCCCTTCGTAGTGAACCTTCGGGCAGAAGCTTGCATCAATATAAAATTAATGTAACCGTTATTACTCATGCATAATGTGGTTAAACAATTTGTGATGCGAGTAATTTAATTTCCAGTCAATTTCCGATAGCAAAATTACAATTTCATAACACTAATTGTTCCTGATATTAAAATTTAAATATCCAAAAATACGGTAGGATAATATGGTTTAGAAAATAAAGGTGATGTAATATTTTGCGCAAATGTTTTTCTAAAATTTTCACGCTAAGGGAAATTACGATTACTATTTCATGTTACTCCAGTATTCATGTTATCAGGTTAAATGTTGTTAAATAAATGTTAAGTGCGATGACTCAATCTCAAATCAAACCAAAACAAAATGGATAATATTTACGTTATAACTTTCGTGAGACATAATTATTATGTTTTCGGCTTACTCACGTAATTATTTGACGAGGAACTCGACTAGTTTCAAGCCATGATAGAGGCTCATATTCATTAGCAGCATTCCGCGACCCGCGACTCGGCAACTGTCGCGCTGCTACGCGATAGTAACAGCCTCTAGCATGGCTTGAACTAGTAGAGTTCCTCGTCAAATAATTACGTTAGTAAGCCAAAAAAACAAAATTACAAAATACATAACTTTTTCAAAATTCACTTAAAAGTTGATTAAAAAAGACGAATTAAATTGTATAAACACAAGTACTTGCTTGAAGAACAGTAATCATTAAAGTTTTATTCAAATAAGCAAAGTTCCTCCTGTATCTCACAATCTTAATAGTAAGAACTGGCGCATAATAACATTTATAGAAAATGTCAACTCGCCTTTGTGTTCTAGAAAAGTCTCATGCAGTTGTTCAGTATAATTAATGTTTGTAGATTTTTATCTAGATTCCTTTTATAGAACTTTCAGATTTATTATATTACCGCAATCTTTTAATAGTTGGAATGGTATGTGTTGGTCTTTGTGTAACATTTGTTTAAAAATAAAATAATACATAATAATATTATGCACGCAACTTGACTAGAAAAGTAGATGTGCATGTGTGTGTCCTTTTTGATGTAACATATGTGGATACTTCTGAGTTTTCCATGATTGCCATACACTAGCCACTATTTTACACGTTTTTATGGTGCTACTGATGATTTTCAAAAAGCGACAACTCAATAATACTTTATCTGCTCCGAGCGAGACCTGATTAAAGTTAATAATTATTTTATATTAATGTATTACGTAGGGTCAACTTTTTATTCTCCTTCAGGGTATAAAAAGCGTGATGGTATTATATGAAATAATCCTACCTTACTTCTGAAAATTGTGTTAATATTTTAAATATACTATAAATAAGTTGTCTTATCATTAACATATTTTTAGAGCTACTATCGCCTGTGACACAGGAATATTCCTAGTACCTATAGGCATATTATTTTAAGATCTTGTCGCTTAATTAAGATATTTTTGTACCTATATTGACCAGTGTTATTATGAATAAAATTTTATTTATTTATTTATAAATTAGTCCTCTTTTTTCATATTTTAAAACGTTCTAGTACGTGTAATATTCTTTTTCCGAAAACCGCTTCAAAATCTATTTAGGCAATCGCGATTTAATACCACTCAAACATAAATACATACAGGTCAAAATGAGAACACCCTTTTTTCTTTTTGACGTCGGTTAAAAATGTTAAAAATACGTATTATTTGAGAGACCTGTGCGAACAATAGCTTAGCAACAACATCTATCATGAAAAAAATCCATAGGCGCATTTCGACAAGTAAATAAATTACAATATGACTTGCGTAGCTCCTATATTGGACTGTCAATATACATAATAAGTACCTACACTATGATATAGGGGAAGGCAATAGTCCTTGGAAGGAGAAAATCGAATTTCTTTGCAATTTCCTTTCATAGTTCGTCATCTTTTCTTGCGGATACCTATACATTTTGCCTAAAATGCAAAACCAATGATAAAAAACAAAATTTGTTGTAAAAATCATGTCGTGTGTTGTTTTTTATGCATTTGTAACTAAAGACTCTGCTCTTGCAGTCTTTTTAGTTCGCCTGAATAATAAAATTTGGAAAACGTTACTGTAAGACGTAAGTATTTATATTCTTACCTTTTAAAAATCTCAGTAGGTAGTAGCACTGAGTCTGGAAATGTGCCCCGTATATGGCATACATACATAGTGAAAAGTGAGTGTAACTTCTGTGTGAACTTCTGCCTACCCCTTTAGGGATAAAAGGCGTGATGTTATGTTATTCATAAAACATTAACAGAATTGAATATACATTGGTAATTTTGTTTGAAAGTACAACAATAAACACATTTAAAACTAATACAATATGAAATGTTTGAATGTTTGTTCTTACCATGTTAGGTAAATAGTGATGTCAGGAGCACTGAAAATATGCTGTTAATTCTGAAAAAAAGAAATAATTTTTAAAGATTAAAAATAAAAGACCAAAGAGGCTTAAATTAAGCTTTTATTAATCATTCACATTGTACGACCATGTAGGTACATAAAATATTTTTTTATAATTTTTAAAATGGCCAGAGGACTAAAGAAAATTATTAATTTATTTATTCTGACAATCGCTTCTGGAATGGAAGTTTTATTTTATATTTTACATTTTATTGGGATAATATTTTAATTTCGCATAAATTTATTTTTAAAGAAATAAAATACTGGTATTTTTTAAAAGACAGATGTTATACACATAAAATTATCCGTATCAGGGTTATTAATTAAATTATGTTAAATCCAATTATACAAGCTGTTTTAAATTAAATGAAAATAAACGATAAACTTTTAGTTTAATATTGTTTGCAAAGAGAAGATCTTATTATCATTAAGTTTGATTAATCATAAAGTTTCACAAATGATTACAAACTTATGTAAACCATTTACAACTATACTCGTCAAAGTTTATGATTCAATTCTGAGTGAACAAACCGACTGCACAATTATTAGAAGCTGTTTGGAAATTGAAATTGCTTTGTTTCCATTATTTTGTGTTTATTGAATAAATTTGTATGCAGTCCAAGTTTATTTTTATTCAAAATCAACAGCAAAATAATTAGATGTATATTTATCCTGCGAAATATTAATTAGCATAGCAATTTCAAACTCGAAATAAAATGAGTTCTATCATTTTATTTCGTGTTATAGCTTATTTATCCAGAATAGACGAACTAATTAATTCATTTGGTAAAATGGACTAATCTGTAATTAGTAGATACATTATACATATAAAACCAATTTGCTAAGTAGGACGTAACACGAGATATAAATAAACATGCCAATTATATACTCCACTCAAAGGACTGTTATTGAAGTGGCGCTAAAAATAAAAGGGACAGACATTGAACACATTTATCCTGAAAAGGTATATCAATAAACAACATTTTGAAAGGCTCGAAGCGATTGCCAGACACATTTTTTGAATGTTACCTAATACGCCTATATGTATCTATTTTACAATTATTATTCATATACTTTCATCTATACAATAGCACATAAATAATTAATCTATTTTTTAAATATATTTCGCTTCAATATACACATTTTTCTTAACTTATCACATCTTTTAGCCTAACAAATAAACTTTCTACAATAGTCAGTGTAAAGAGCTGCAGGAAGACATTCAACGCCAATTTGGGAGATGGAGCCTCGTCACGGAAACCTCAATTCAATTTGCCCTGATCAGGTTTCCCTGAACTAACGAAATCAAACAATAATATCGCCTTAATTCCTCCCCAATGTGTAATTTTATTTACCCAAACTTTACTCCCAAAGAGCGAATCGAATAGTTCCGAAAACAAGCCATCTCCCTCGTGGCAATTACGATTAAATACCATAACCTCTGCTTTACAGCGTAACACTAATCATATCGAAAATATTCTGCTGAAATATATTAGACAATAATTTAATTCTCAAAATACTTTCTCACTTTGAAAATCACCTACCAACATGAATATTATGAACGAGAATAATAAACAAAAACAACAATCGTTATTTTTCTATCATACTAAAAAAATCTTAAATCTAAATTTAAGATTAACGAATATAAATTATCGTGAGGAAATGGAACGAGTACTACGTAGACGCACACAGGTATATAAATAATCCCCGGGGAACTTAGTACTGAATATTTTATTGTAACCTTTAATCTAGGGGTAAGACAACATTCAAAGCAGTAGCGAAAGAGGATTTTATTCCAGAACGTTCATTAATTCTATTGTTATTTATTCTGATAGTGCATATCAAATGGGACATTAGGGGAAACTTGACTCTAGCTTACTTTAGTTATTGTTTTCCATTTATCATTAACATGTTACCAATGCAGAGATATACAGAAATAGCTTTTAAATGCGTTAATAAAAATAGCGATAGTTTGGTAATCCATGGAACCCTGTAGTAACTAGATCAGATAGGTATAATTGACGTACAAAAGCTCAGGAAGAAAAAGGACACATCCGAATGTAGTGATTGAAATATGCAATAATAACATCATCTTAAAATTAATTATACACTGTAACAATAAACTCTAGTTACATTATAACATTAACATATGAACACAGTAAAATTATATTTATATTTCTTTTATTTTAAAATATTCAATCTCTTACGAGATGTTTTAGAATGTCTAACATCAGAATAAAAGTATAAATATAATAAGGGTGTATAATTTGTAAAATATTTATATAGCAAAACAAATGATATAGGACAACCTTATTCCTTGAAAGTGAGACGAGGAAGCTTAGGTACACAAAATTGTATAGTATACATAAATAAAGGGTATCTAAGAAATATTGAAACTACAGTCTAGAAGCCGCTTCGCAGATAAAATATTTGATCAGGGATAGGCGAGATTCATAGCGTCATTCAATTTAATTGGAGTGTAAATTCGCGGAATATAATACCGCAGCCGAGAATCCATAATGGGTAGCTTTGTAGGCAACTTGAGGTGGCGTTTGCTTGGCTTGTCTCTGAATGTGGCTTCTTCAAACTTAGTTCGTTCACTGCCACTGTAAAAAATGTACTTGAATATAATTCATGGTTTATTTCTCGAATTGTTTTTAATAAGATTGAATTAGTCCCTCAAAAAATGGACAATGGATATTCCATTAAAATTAAGACACAGATGTAATCAGACACAGAATGATAGTAAATATTAAGGTCTTTCGTGTAGGTACTATAAGAAGTCATTAGTCCAAATGAAGACTTATAAAAAATAAATGCTATATACACAACTTCCTACCTACGGTTCGTTAGCAGTAACTTGTGGAACAGACTTTTGCTTATTTTGAGCTGAAACTTAACTCACTTGAAGTTTCTTGCGGGATTCGCATTAATGTAAATGAAAGTTTGTTCCACAGTTCGTTTTTAAGTTTCCACCAGCTTCTTTTAAACGGTATAATAGACAGCATTTAAAGTTTCCAGTAAAACGTTCGAAAGTAAAAAACTTTTTGTAATTAATTTTCGTTTTGGTAAATACAAATGCTTGGGGAAATGACTTCTAATTTTTTGTACTTAGTAGTAGTAAAGGATTTTTTATGATTCGTTACTATTACCTCACAGACAAAAACAGTATTGTTTTCTATCTAATGACTAAAGGGGTGTGTATTCTAGTAATACCTACTCTACAAATATGAAACAAATAAATTTTCAATACAACAGTATAATACTACACATTAACAATAACAACAGTTAAAAGTGTAGAATTGGATCCATTTGAAACAGTTTTTATTAACAACTCCCTTCATATAAAGTATAATTTGATTAACTTTGCTAACAAAACCTCACCTGTAACAGTTTGTTTCTTAATGTCTGCAAATTTTTCCCCTGGACCTACTTCATCAGGTATGGTAGCGGTGCAAGTCAGTTGTAGTCTGCCGTGTGCTGGGGCTTTCAGCTCAGCTATAGATACCCATAGAGATATGGGTACAGCTGGTGGAACTCGTGGCCTTTCTTGAATCTAGACAAAGTGTTATGATAATTATTTTTGTTAGTTAAGTAGAAGATGGTCTATTAACAGAGAGCCATGTTTCGGCACGAATGGGCCGGCTCGACTGGAGTGATACCACGGCCTCACAGAAAACCGACGTGAAACAGCGCTTACGTTATATTTTACAGTGGAAGTGGGGTTACCGGAGGTCCATGACCCCGTCCCCAGTCTCCCCAATCCCCGAATCCCCAACAATCCTCAAATTGCTAACCACCAAAAGGCCGGCAACACACTTGAAATGCTTCTGGTGGTTCAGATGTTTATGAGCTGCGCCGCTTGCTTACCATCAGGTGAACCGTCTGCACGGTTACCGTCCGATCCCCGTAAAAATATTATGAAATTGATGATGGTATAACAGATTACAGAACTCTCTTTTTAAATTTCATTATCTGGTTTAAAGAATGGCCTTCAGGGTTTAAAGGATAGTTTCTATAGCGCTTTACTTATTAGAACTTAGTGATGATATTGTCAAGTAACATGAACACTCCGTTAATTAAAGTAGGCAAACATACAAATCAAAATAAATAATTTGTTAAGTAAAGATCCACATATGTACATGCTACATAAAATAAGTAAACGTTACAATGTTATTGTAACTTCATTTCACTTAAACTTCAACCAAACATTGGTAACAATGGAATACAATAAAATTTGCATAACATCATATTCAATGAATTCCATAAAATTAACATGAGAATTCCATCGTATTCTAAGCAAACTCCTAAGGTAAAGCATGTAACTTTGAAAACATTTCTTAAGAAGGTTCTAAAACAATTAAATATTCCTCAAGTGCCTTAACTTGGGCGAAATTATTAACGTAATCCCAGCTCAGCTGCCAAACTTGGCTAATTTTCCGTTCCTACAAGAACGTCACGGATGTCAAAGAATAGGGAATTGGTAAAATATATGGACTCGGCAAAAAATCTATTCGAACTAATGAAAAAGTTAGGATTTGAGTTACGATAACAGGAAATGGGAAAGTTTTGAGAGAAGGTCTTATACATTTTGTTTTAATGGATAAGTAATTAGACTTAGTTGACTGTACCAGTAAGGCTAACTTCAAGGTCTTTGCTGTCAATAAACGATTGATAAAGAGCTATTGTTATTTCATAAATATCATTTTCAGAAATATTAATTTATCGAACAAAACAAGAAAATCTTAACCAGTTTACAATATTAATTTAAAGGAAATTCTATACAATCACAAGGTAAACACATAGTAATTATCCATTGACTTGATGCATAATAACATTATGAACATACGACTTTAAAGAATTTGATTTCGGAAACTGACCGACCAAACCAACCAATCTCAATTCTATTGAAAATGGTCTTCAATTTAAACTGGAAGGATATAAAAAGAATAATAATATTGAGACAGAGATCAGCTGTAGATACTTGAGCCCAATCGACTTCGGATTGAGATTGTCTTTTGTTATTTATTGTAAGACGCCCGCTTTGATTTGTTCCTTATCTTGTACATTCATTGTGATCTTTCAATTTGCTCTTTTCACTTCCAAGATTAAAAGACTTTCGTTCCACAAATACGTAACAAAATGTTGATCCATTTTATTTTAAACAATCATCTAATTGTTGCCATCAGTCCTTCGCTTAATCATTTACTTTTTAATTAAAAATACAAGAGAATCGGCATGTACCACTTTGCTAATGAACCTTCATATTACTTGACAGTTAATTAATGCAGGAGCAATGGAATTCTTGCTAAATTAATGTTAGCATTGGATTGTACGAACGACCGACGGCGAAGCAGTTACACTCGTAATTTGATGTAAATCTGCTAGTTGTCTAATCCTAATGGTGGAATTTGATCAATTCTTTATAAAAAAGGAATTTTAAGTCTAATTATTATTCAAATAAAATTACATATTTAATGTACCTTAGCCATTTCTTCACTCTGTTGGTCTTTCAAAGTGCACTTGTGATGTTTTGAAGTATTCACAATGGGAGCTACTGTGGTCTCACTGACCAGTGCCCAATATTTAGCTGTGTAATTAAACTCTGGTGCTATCAGTCGATGCTGATGCTTTCTATGACGAAATCCCCCTCCTCCCTTCGTACGAGTAGAACTTGACACTCGGTACGAGAAATATTTCACTGATTCTTCATCGACCTGGGTAGAGAAACAAATTGCAGTGTTATTAATATAGCATTCAAATCTTTCATTTTTAATCAATGAGTTTCATCATCATTTGCCTATTTTCATTCGAGTTAAGAACTTAGTGAGCGTGACATACCCAAACTATCATGTAATAGATTCATGTATATATATTATTATGTGGATTATTATTTTGTGGATTGTAAAAAAAAAATTGACCAAAGCCAAAGCAAATTAGGTTGGTATATTTCTGTAGTAAACAAATAAACAAATATGCAGAAAACCTATAAATTTCATACTATTTGTTGGTATACATATATATATACCAAACATTATTAATTTAATTAGATTATGTTTTGCTCCATATGTTGCCGTGCCCTAGCCGGGTTTCATGTTGAAACTGTACCTCATATAACACCAATTGTACACATGATATGCAATAATAATAATAAAAAAAAATGAATTTTCGAGATATTTTGAACGCATACCTTTTCATTGTCAATGTACCACGTGAGTCGCGGCGCAGGCGCAGCCGGCGCGCTTGTGCAGTTAGCGCGCAGTAAACCTCCCACCACCACGTCCGGCTTACCGAACGTTATGATTGGCGGGTGTTTTTGAGAATCTGTGTGAAAGATAAACATTTTAATAATTGTAAATATTTACAAATGGAATCTGTTACATATTTTCATTTTTTACGTATTTAGACCATTCAGCTCCATGACACTACTAAAAACACACACAAATGAAATCATTAAATCGCCTGTGCGAGCGGCCTTAATGTTGATAAAAATTATCAATGAACTAGGTAATTTCAAGTAGTACATTATATTGAGAATGTTGCAATGACAATTATAATGTCATTTTTATTTTTATTCTTTTAATTTAATTACTTTTATATTTGTTTTATGGCATAAGCTGGTAAACGAGCAGACGGATCACCTGATGGTAAGCAATCGGCGTCGCCCATGAACACCTGGAACACCAGAGGCGTTACAAGTGCGTTACCGGCTTTTGGGGGATTAGGAGTTTGAGGATCGTTGGAGATTCAGGGATTGGGGCGATCAGGGAAGGGGAGGGTAACTGGGCCTCCAGTAACCTCACTCACACGACGAAATATAACGCAAGCTTTGCTTCACGTCGGTTTTCTGTAAGGCCGTGTTATCACTCCAGTCGAGCCGGCCCATTCGTGCCATGGCATGGCATAAATTGAAATGAAACATAAAGGTACAATTTCAAAATACAACGAAATACAAAAAAGACCATCACAAACGTGCCAAACCATTTGTACACCATCTCTCTCACTACTAATATCGGTATCACGGAAATAACAAACATATCAAGCTTCCAATATCTCATCATAAGTAATTTGCTATTAATTGGAGAGCTTCTATCCAAGTCGAATACCCGTCTACTGACTAATGACGTCATCAGACATTATGTGAACATCAATTCAGATAATAGAGTTAACATTTTAGCAAAGCCCTTTAGCTATAATGGGGATGGTTGGGTAAATGTGAACACGGACAATGGACTGCAAAATAACAGCTATTTCGAGACGTATTGGTTTGTTTTGGACAATCGCTAAACACATTTTGTAGAACCGAATGTTAATTTTAGAAGGTAAAAAATTGTTACTGTTTTTATTTTCATTTTAAGCTTTTTATTCTTGACTTCTTTACGCATTTTTTTTTTAAATTCAAAAAAATGTTTATAAAACCACATTCTTAGTATTAAAGGTAAAAAATGTGGTTTCTGGTGGTATGAATAACACACGATAATCTTTTTAATTCAAAATAGCTCTTTAGTATTATGGGCCGTCGATAGAGGGCGCCCTAGACGGACGTATAGTGACCAGATTGACGATATATTAAAGAAGGGCCAAATTAATAGTACTCTTAACCGACGAGCATGCATGAAAAGATTGATGACTGTTAATGAAGTGAAAAAGATATAAGAATCGTAGTAATTGGCGTTCCTTAGTGTCTGCATACCCCCATGGGAGACAGGCATGAAGTTATGCATGTATGTATGTATTATGTGCATTTGTAATATAAAAATTATACAAACCAGACAACAAAATATGATTATGAAACATCTAATCTAGAATAGCAAAACTACATCGCTTCCATTTTGATAATCGCCCGTGTAGATGCTAGTCATGAATATAAATTGTTCAATCTTCAACGCTTTGGATGATAATAGTTATTTGGCAAGGAGCTCTGAGGCTACACTTTCGTGGTCGATAAAGTGACAGCGAATAATAGTGAAGGATATGATGAGAAGATGAGAAAATAAGCAGGAGATAAGAAAATGTCATTAATAATAACAATTTGTATTCTCTGATGTCGGGCGCTACATGCTATTAGGGTTTCTTGTTGGCTGATGTTTGATAGAAATTTGCTTTGTCATTCACTTTTTTGTGAAGCAATGTTCACAGTTCTGTAATATTGTTTAGGTACTTATGCGTGATGTCATGGGGATAAGGAAAACTTTTTAAATATTTAGTGATTGGATGAAATAAATAAATATATTAAGACTTACAGGTATTATAATTGTATAGAAGGATGATTTAAAATTGTGTCATAAGATGTTTTTTTTACCTCTATATAAAATCCAGCTATGAATAAAGTTATTGTTACAATTTGTGTTGTAAAAATGTTGAAGATGCAATCCCGTGAAGATTTAGTAAACTTGTGGTAATTTTCATGGATTATGGTTTATACGAATGTAATCGTTCTTTCCAAGCTAGCAATTCGATTCCTATTATTATTTGGGCTGTTTCTTTCAGCCGCACTGCTAAATATGTTTCTATGTAGCTCAGGAAAGGCGGTCTTTTGATTTTATAAGCTAGAATGGTAGTCAGTATGGAGGAATCCAGATTTATCAATTTTATATAGTGGTTAGTGAGTTAAACTACAAAGGACATAATTTACCAAGTAAAAAATTAACCACAATATTTATTTAAACAGAGTTAATTATTACGTCTATCGCAAAATAAACCCAATTATTTACGTTAATATGCATTGCAATTAATTAACAATTATACACATGTCCAATTACAATGTGAAGTTATTTTAGCGTAAAATACCTTCAAATAATAATTCCCAAAAGTATTACGGCAAGCGTTAACTGCATAATTATTCGGTAAAACTGTGCTGTAGCTTACTGGTAAATAAATAATTGTACTATATTGAATAAGTGTGAAAATGGTCAAAATTCTACATATCCAAAATATTTCTGTACACACAATTTATAGTAGGTACACTACTGCTACAACTGCCTCGTTGGCCGTGTGCGACAAGTGCGACTGTCGGGCAAGGGGTCTCGGGTTTGATTCCCGGGGCAGGGCAAAGTATTACTGTCTTTTTAAAAAAAAATCTCAATTGTAGCACGGAGTCTGAAATCGTGCCCGGTATATGGCAATACACCCCGTATTTATTCTATTAAATGGGACTCATAACATCGTGAAAAGTGGGTGTTACATTGTACAGTAGCATCAAGTGCTGTAATGTGCTCCTCTCCCTATCCTTTCGAGGATAAAAGATGTGATGTTGTGTTACGTTTTAAATCTTCGACAGATTTTAATGAAGGTAACACGTTCAATACGAGGTACAGATAAAAGACACTATAACCGTTTTTTTTTATTTACATTTTCTTGTACATTTTTGAAAAGGAATTCTATAATTTAGACAAAATATAATTTTCAGTCACAGCATCTACCTAAAGAACACGAAGTTGAAAGACAACGAACTGTAACACTAAAACAAGCTAAGAAGTTCTTTAAAATTTGCTCATGAAATCACACCTCGAATTTACACTGAACTGACTACGTTCGTACATACAAAGGCTAAATAGCAAACCACACAATATATTTTTATAGTATTTTTTTTTACTTGCCAAGTACTCTTTATTTCGAACAGAAATATAAATATATAAACTACATAATAACTGGCTCGTGGCCGAGTGGTCGCAAGTGCGACTGCCGGGTAAGGGGTCTCGGATTCGATTCCCGGGTCGGGCAAAGTATTACTGGGTTTTAAAAAAAATCTCAGTAGTAGCACGGAGCCTGGAATTGTGCCCGGTATATGGCAATAGGCTCACCCCTATATGAATAGTGAAAAGTGGGTGTTACATTGTACAGTGCATAATGTTCACCTCTACTCTTCGGGGATAAAAGGCGTGATGTTATGTTACATAATTTAAATATTTACGTTATAAATATATTTTTTATTAGTTTCATTATCAACAACTCGTAAGAGTACACAATTGGACCATGGATCTTCTTTACAAAAGAGGAGTTTGCTGTGCTACCACGCATGGTTCAATTTCGCAGATTAAAAGGATTAGGTTTATCAAAGAACACTGTTGCCCGACTGGGCAACAGTATTTAAATCTGTTAAACATGTAACACAGCCTCTAAAGAAACTCGTGAGAAGAGTAGAGATGATAACAAATTAATTCTTCTTTACCGTTACCACCAGACTGCCTTTTTTGAGACAAAACCGCTGCAACTCCTGTTAGCCAGGATCCACAGTAGCAACCATGAAAACGTCTGAACGCTAAAGTTCGACGCGTTTCAGGGAAATCAATAACTGTTTTGGATCCCGCAACGAAAAATATCAGCACATATTATAAGAGGAGGAAAAAAAAGATCGACTGCCTTATAATAACTTAGTTATGGCTGTGGTTAGACATTTTTGCCTGACTCCCTCAGATTATGCTAATCTTACAACTGCCCGATAGCCAAAAGCCTTGACCTACATCTATTCTGAAGAAGCTCTCGTTAAAGAGTTGGGTCAAGAGCTTTATAGTTTACAAAGTACGCAACACTTCTGATGTTCTATTTATAAGGGCAGGTGAATTTTTAGAATAGAGAACCATGATTATAATAATATATGCCAAATATTTTGTCTCTACAACATTCATTTATGTATCAACTTCGTTTCTTTTTCTTCTTCTGGAATTACGTAAATAAGTGAGAGATCGGTATTTTGCAAACAATATTAAAAAGAAGATTTGTAAATTAGAACGTTAAGTGATTACACAGATTTAAAACCTCCATCAGAAACTTTTGATTTGAAATAAGAGTAACATAGAATACGTTTTTCAACAACATTTATTTTACAACTTCTGCTAAAACTGCTTAACTTCTTGGTTATCTTAGCTAACACCCGAGCATAAAGGAGTCCCACCTTCACTTGATTAATTCATTAAAATTTATAACATCATATTCCGCATTCAGAGCACGATGTATGTACGATTAGTAGTGGCGCAATTTTTAGTTGAAACGATTGTTAAGATATTTTTTTTTTACTCTTTATAGATCGACGTTTGACCACCATCTCGCCTGATGGTAAGCGATGATGTGGCCGACGATGGAACACGCCTACCTATGTGCAACCTGTTTACTCGGGACTTGAAGACACCCAGGTCATATTTGACAGGAAACACAGCCTCTGGCAAGAAATTCCATACCTTAGCAGTTCGCATTTTGGTGAATAACCTCCTCCTGGCGCTATAAAATCATTGTTACAATTACTTTGAAAAATTGATTCATTTTAAATTATTACGACAATTCTAAGACTTAGATATTGCATTAAAAAATAATTTTATAATCTTTATATTCTGCTTGTGCAAACGTGTAACATCATTAAGTTATTTATTTATGTTCTTATTAAATGGTGATCAAACGTAAATCTGTAATTTTTTACAATCGCACGGCTCTAAGCACGATCTACGATTGAAATTCCAGTAGAACATATTTTAAATAAATAAATAAGTGTAGGAGAGCCCTGCTTAGGCACGAATTGGCCGGCTCAACCGGAGTGATACCACGGCCTCACAGAAGACCGACGTGAAACAACGCTTTCTTTGTGTTTCGTAGCGTGAGTGCGGTTTCCGGAGGCCCAATTACCCTTACCGCCTTTCCCAATCCCCAACAATCCCCAAATTCCTAATCCCAAAAGGTCAGTAATGCACTTGTTAGTGTCACTAACGAGCTTTTGGTATTCCAGGTGTCCATGGGCGACGCCGATTGCTTACCATCAGGTGATCCGTCTGCTCGTTTACCGGCTTATCCCTTAAAAAAGATCTTACTTACATACGACAGTCAGTTGTCTCGGATTCGAAGCAGCTGTGAAGATGGGCGTCTCTAACGATACTTCACACCAGTACAGTCCTGATGCAGATGGATCCAAGTTGTCGATTGTTATTGAGTTTTCTGTTGATAGTGTCATCTAAAATAAAAACATTTAGTACAATACCAATAATGTGCTTATAGTAAATCAAAGTATCTATCTTAAGTAAAAACTATTAGCAAATATTATGACGAGAATTAATAACAACGAACTTTACCGTAAGAACTTAAACTTTGACGTCTCCCTCATTAAAGCGCAGTCAAACTCCTGCACTTTAATGATCAAGAAATTACTGTCTCATTTTGAAGACGTTAAATATTTATAAGTATTATATTTCAGTGCCAAAACTAATATAATTAAATAAAGTAAGTCACTATATCATCTTACAGAATACTGGCCAATTTTCAATGCCACTGACAGCCTCTAGAAAACTGAATTCATAATTTACCGTCTCATCTGTTCTTGAATCGTAACAAAAGAGACAAAACTTCCCCAGCCCATAATTTACCTGTCTTACTTCTCAGAAAACTCATAAATCTAGAATAATATACAATTCTGTCTGCCATAAAAGACATAAAATACGACAAACAGTCCTAGTATACGAATCAAACGGATAAAATGGATCTCCGAATCCTATTGTGTTCAAACTAGCTCTATTGTGATGGAAATTACGTCCCTATAATCAACAGGGCCTTACAGAATGGGATGTTTTTCTTGAGTGTAGATATGTACCCATTCTATTATGTATGTGTACATGGATATTTATGAAGGATTCGTTGAATGTAGAAGCTTTATTTAGACAGATAAATTAGTTTATGATCTCACAACAGTGTACGTTCGGCATAGACTAGACTTAATAAAAATAGCTAACTTTTATACTTACATTAACTCTTCCACCGGGAAAGGTATAGCTGGTGAAAGGCGGTACCCTTTCCCTGACATACTGCAGAAGCTTCGTCCCAGTCCTCAAAAACTCCACTTTGTAGAGTAATTGTGGTGGGACCTGATGCAGGCACCGTAATGTGGCTGAACCGCCCCTAGCCACCCACGCTGGAGCCACCAACCGGACATCCACGTCCGTCGCCTGACCGCTTCCTGGTATAAAATATAATAGTATTAAATATCAGCAAAAATGTGACCCAATTTTAATATAGGTAGAAAACATTTTGGCTTGTCGATGCCAGCTTGGATTACATTAAATTAAACATTCTTCGCTGAACTTTGAAAGTAATCAGGTTAGTCTGACAGAAGAATTTGTCTTGAAAACCGTTCCAGAACATGGCCTTCTGCCAACTAAAATGCGATCAACACTGAATCCTAACAAGACTGTCTTTTTTCACGGAGTAACTCCCATCTGTCATCCTTCAACAGTAATCCAATGTTGTTGGTAAAATTAATGACTCTCAGCTTTGGATTTGCTTCTATAAATGTTCAGTCGGGAAAACCATATCAACAGGTGCCTATCGTAAGAGGAAAAACTGTTTACACAAAACCTACTCCAAAACCTCTTAAGCACCGTAATGGGTAAGGCCATCTAAATGATTACCGCGCACGTTAATTTACTCGGTGACAGATTTACAGCGAGGCTTTTTCTTCACGAACTTCTTTGTAAAAAATATTTACTTCAAGTGACTTTTATAGGCCGTCCGGAATGATATATTGGGGCCAAAAATATTTTAAAGACTGCCTCGCTGGCCGAGTGGTCGCAAGTGCGACTGCCGGGCAGGGGGTCTCGGGTTCGATTCCCGGGTCGGTCAAAGTATTACTGGTTTTAAAAAAAAATCAGTTGTAGCACGTAGTCTGGAATTGTGCCCGGTATATGTATATGTCACTAGGCTCACCCCCTATTACATGGGACTCATAACATAAATAGTGAAAAGTGGGTGTTACATTGTACAGTGGTATAATGTGCACCTCTGCCTAGCCCTTCGGGGATAAAAGGCGTGGTGTTATGTTATGTAAAAATATTTTCTTTACTATTCTGTCGTAAATGAAAAGTTTTAGTCTTATAATTTGAACGTTTATAAAATAAAATTTGTTATCAAGTCAACTTTACCATATCGAGTTCTATTGTAGAGCAAAGTCACCTCTAAGACTAGACTGCATTTTTTATTGAATAAATTAATAACTTCGCTTCTATGAAAATCCTAAACAATTCTAATGATAACCCGCGTAACTATAGACCCGTATAATAATTGTGGTACTTAATAATTGTATCAGTATACTGTTTCTACCGTTACTTTATCATTAATCGAGAACTTAAAAAAGATATTATTAATACGAATTGAAACACGATTCAGCACAAATAAGACACTGATTCAGGATAAACGATGCGAAATTTATTGAGGGTTGAAACGGGATCGAAATTAAAAACAAGTAATACCAAAATCTAAATAAAAAGGCAATCTGGATCCTACCTGACCCTGATCTTACAACTCCGAATAAATAAACAGTCTAAAATATGCACAAAGGGAATAACTAAAAGAGGACTTTTGCTGTCTCTTTAATAACGACACAAAGCGAACGTTTTAAGATACAAAAAGATGTCCAAGAAAACAATAAAGTCTTTGAAGTTAGTCATTGTCACCAGGTCAATTACGTTCATAGTTCCCAAAGGTAACAGCTAAACGGAATTGTTTGCAACAAGACAACGCTGTTAGTTGTTTACCTATTAAACTCAAGACCTTTTCGTTTTCCTTATTCCTTGTAGATTTAGGTGGAAATTCAATTCCCTCGGAATATAAAAGGCGTGTGTACATAATAACGTCCCGTCTCCCCTAATGTTATTAACATACGACTCAAACGTGTCTCGGGCTGTTTGTTCGAGCAACTAAAGAATAAGGGATTCTTTAACAAACTTCTTGCTTTACGAGATTTCTTTTTGACAATCAAAATGGAGGGAAATGTTGTATTTACGATAATTTATATTTTTATTCTTGATGAAAAGTTTTGATAATATTTTGCAGAAATAATGTCAGTTTCCTAATTTAATTAAGTATAGAAAAGTTAAAACTTGTCAAGTTGATTAATGACTATGTTTTACGAAAAAGAAAATGCGAAATGGTGCCAATCAAATTTCTTTGAGTTCTTTTACGAAAACAAGAGCGCAGGTGAGTCTGCTAATGAAAACATTACTGTTGTCATTACTCCGAATTCGCCAACATTGTTTATTTTTCAGAACAACAAATTAGGGCTTTGTATTTCAGCAATCTGAGTGAAATATAGCCGTATGCGATTCACGTAAGACTCAAAATTGTTTGTTTGTTAATATTCATGGATTCACAGTGTCATTTCCATGCAAACACGTGAACATCCGTGATGTCACGACTTGTTGCGATACTGCGATATACTGAGGTTCGATATCGGCAAATGTCTTGAGAGTTGCGAAGACGTATGGAGCACACAGCCTCCCCATACAGGGGGTGACATCCGGGAACGTGCATCCGGCGTACGCATCAGCGACACCGGACAATGAACGTGTCGTGTAGGGTTGCCAGATTGTGCAAATTTGATTACGGGACTACATTTGGAAGTGGGACGCCCGGGTCGCTGAGATCAGGACTGTGGAATACCTATTGTCTTGATCAGTAGTCTTTTGTTTTGCTAACAATAGTATTTGTGGTGTAAAATTAATTGAACTCGTCAGATTTAGATGTTTTAATTAAATAACAAATATCGACACATATCAAGAAAAGTAACCATTTTAATACTTATCAAGATAACAATACTTATCGAGGAGATAAATTATCTATCCCGAAAACTAGAAAAAACAGAAACATGATCTGAATAACTATAAAGGTATGACACAATACGAGATCTGCTGAATCTATAAATTAAATAAAAAGAAGCGGCTAGTGGTTGGTGGAGGCTTGGTCACACGTGCGTCGAGTTCCGTACAAGACCCTTCCCCAACCCTAATGGATTTTTAAGTGTTTAAAGGATTTTACTACGCCACAGCCCGTTTTTACGTTATTCACCTGTAAGTGTTTATTCATGTTTGATGCCACGGAATTGAGGTAGATTTTGAGAACATTAGCGTGGTTGCGTGAAAATGTATCGTTGGGTATAATGTTGTGCTATTTTGTGTGAGAAATCTAGTATGGATTGGTTTTGTTGATGTTGTGGGTCATCTTTTAGAAGCAATAAAATATGATTAAATTATCTTTATCGGATTTTAAAATATTTATTTTTAAATATTCGTACCAAATTTTACATGTTATAATTTTCGAAATTAGTTAAAAGTGAGTGCAACTCCATCTAGTTGTAGGTAGAATCGTGTTAAGACTTACGTTTTAAAGCAATGAGATTTTACGCGTTATGTGATGTTACAGAATACATTTTTGTAGTCCTACAAATACGTATGATTATGTTATTGAACGTAACGAAAAACGTATACCACTATGATTACGAAACCAAATACATTCAAATACGAACAATCTTTCAAGATCTTCTCCCACACAAAAAACTTTTGCAAAAAACAATCAAGCCTTTCAATTTCTTTGAATAGAAATCTTTTTTCAGCAGCAGAGCCTACTTAAAATTTATGAAGACCCTTTTTAGGTGCTAGCTCAGACATTTTTCAAATATACCCTGAATACGAAATCTAAGAAATGGTTGAAAGTTTTCTTTCCTATTATAACTATTTACATGGATTGACTGTTTGTTGGTCAAATGGCCGTAAGGCTCGGGTTCGATTCTAGAGTTAAACTAATAAATAAAATAAGCCTTTATTACTGAACAAAATATTTTGTCTTAACCTAAATACTTACCATATACATACATTCATTGTTGCTAGGTAAGAACCTACATGGTTTAACTGTCTCTAATTCTGTATATGTAATGTTCGACGGTGACCGGTTTGTGGTGTTCAGCTTGTCCTTCGACAAAGGCCTCCTCTAAAGTTTTTCATTTTTTCTTACAAACAACTGTTAGACATTAATTAATATTACTAAGATTCTCAATTGAAAACCGAAACTCATACTCATAACACCTGGTGAAAATGAATGCAATAATCCCACATTAAAATATGGGTACTGGCCTACCCCTACAAGGAATAAAACGTGTGACGTCACACTGTCTAGATTTCACAATGTACGTACATACATAGGAATAATAGAAAGCAAAGCCAGTGTCTGTTTGTAGATGTCTCTGAAAATGACAACATTGCGTCCGACTTGTATAGTCAATGCATAAGTGATATAAGTCGTAGGTTATCGGAATAGGATATCGAAGATACGCTTATCATAGTGCCTAGTACCTATGTGTATGTCTATTTAAGAACAAAGATTCTTTATTAGATTATGTGCACTTCTGAGTACTGGTTCTTGTACTGTTTGTTCTATGCTTCGAACTTTCAGTGTAAATAATAATGTTATGTTTATTGGAGTTAATACCTATGTCACTTCACTTCATTATTATTATAATGTATCAAAAACAATTTCGCAATGGATTTATAATTCTTCAAGATGTACAACAATGTATGGATATACCACTAAATTAAATTTAAACTACCCATTTCAATTTTTGGTTTGAAATTTAAGAAATTTTGAAATACAAAAATTAAGAACAAAATTCAATTATCATAATTACTGAACACCTTATAGTTGGGAAATTTTTGAAACCAATACCTCGTTCTCAGGTTAACAAACCAAGTCGATCTGCGACCTATAGGAGAGGTCTGCATTCGATTGACCGGGAGTCAGAAGTTGTATAAGCGTAGGCGTAAAGGAGTAGGCGTTACCGTAGTGTTCTACGCGCTCCACTCGAGGAAGGGAACCAGCCTCTCAGGGCCGATAACTTGACGAGACCTTCCACAAATAAAGCGGCAGGCGGCGAGGCCTGCTGGGTGCGATATTTCCATAAGGGCAACCCGGGTCACAATCACAGCAGAGAAAAACATTGCAGTGGTTTTAGCCGGTCAAGCCCTGTCGTCCCCACGACTTGGGTAGTCCATAAAGATTTCCATAGCGATAGAGAAAATAGAAAGCCAACAAATCAGTATCTTTCCAATTACCTTCACACACTAATATAAAATTACACCTATTATCCTTGGAGGGGTAGGCAGAGGTGCACATCACGGCACTTAAATGCCACTG